ACCACTGGCCACAAAAGTGAGTACACCCCTAAGTGAAAATGTCAAGCTGCAATTGATGGCATCTTTTATGTTTAAAACGCCGAAGTTGACAGCGTTATAGGTGGTAAAGAGCGCCACAATTGACGGTGTTTTCTGTGGTTTAAAGCGTCTTAAATTACGCTGTTAGGGGATAATGAGAGCCGCAACTGACTGCACTTTTGGTCGGTTAAAGAGCCGTACAGGACGGCGTTGGTAATAAAGTGCCCGGTGCAGCTGAAGTCATAGTAATTGGCCATAATAAAATTTAACTTGAACACTTGAACTTTGAGAGACACCCCTCAGTTTGTCTTTCTCTTCCAAGACCTAGGCATACAGAAATTCAAAGAAAACATACAAATAAAACAAAAAAAATTGCTTGGAATGAGTAATAACATGTTTCATTGATGTTACATATGTCATTTCAAAACACACCGGTCTTCAGGAGCGCGCCAAAGAAGTCTGACGACGCTCAGACTCTGGATTGATCTTTTCAGGTAAGAAAATTACTGTAAAAATAATTGTGTACGTTATTAACACTTGGATTATAACTGTATTATTTGCTAACGCAAATCATGGGCCTGTTTTGCGTTAATGTCAAGGAACTCCCAGGTTGTCTGAGAGGTAATATTAGGCCTACCTATATTTGTCAGAATGCTAGCTTTTTGTCTTGCTGGTGGATTAACTCATTATCCTAGCCCGAAGTAATTTACATCCATTTTTTAAAAGTTTGTCATAATTGCTGTTGTAAGAATGATGTAGTTATATAACTTATAAGATTAAATTAATATATCAGGAAGTGACTGGTTTTCTAATGTAATTGTAGGTTATGAATTAATGTTCATCCATAATTTTTCATGTACATTGCATGAAAAATTTCATTAATACAGTTGTTAGTCTTCCGTTCTTTTCATTAAGCCATTAAAAGTAACTGGAAATGTCTTTAAAGGTTCTGAGTGCAAGTAGCAACGCAAATTGGATATTTTATGTATTTATGATGAGTAAAGTAGCAACATAAATTGGATATTTTATGTATTTATGATGAGTACAATTCTCTTTTTTAAAACGCTATCCTGTCTGGCTGCATCGCCCTGTTTGCTTTCACGGTTATGTATATAATTTTTACTTTTCTTTAGCTGTGAAATTGTGGCATTGTTGCGAGCAGATAAACCACAGAAAAGATCCAGGCATTCCTAAAGATCAACTGTTCTTTAAATCAGCAAGATCCCTTTAACCAAACAATACTGAGTAAAAAAATTAGTTAAGGGCTCAATTACCTGTCATTTACAGTAAATTTGTTAACACAAGGAATCAGTGATTGTTTCCATAGGTATTTATGAAAACTCATTTTAGGGAGACTAACCTATAGTCATTTAGTCCAGTCTAAATTTTGTTAAAGAATAATTAATGAAACCTATAACAACTCTTTAGTCTCATAAAAAACTGCTTATGTCTATCCAACAAATAGTTTCAAAAAATTCTGCTTATGTCTATCCAACAAATTTTTTTGATTTTTTTATTTTAATTTTTTTCATTTTTACTCTCTTTAATTGTTCTGTGAACAGGTTTCTGCATCTTTTGATGTATTGCATTAGTACACAAAACAAAACTATCCTGCATACGTGAATAGTTTTATTATTACTTTATTTAACGGACTGCCTAGGATAATATCTGTTGTCAGACTGAAATACATGATGGCAAGTTTTAATAATTTTTTTGTCCTATACTGTTATTTTGTTAAGTAGATTTTATAACGCATGTAATGTTTCTCTCAGTTTTCTCTCAGCCAACAAGACAGCTTACCATGTCATCAGAGCAAGAACCTCCGTCAGCGATATTTGACAGAGTTTTCAATACAATTTCAAGAGCCAGACGAGAGCTTTCAAATAACAATAATGATGACCTACTTTCTTCAACTAGACGCCTTTTCCGGCGTCAGGTGCATCAACTTCGCAGTAAGTTGGGGTGTGCTATGTTAGTATTAGCATAATTAACAGTGACTATGATATTAGTTAACTACCAGTGCTCATGATTTTAGTTAACTGTGTACTTCTGTATGTATGCCAGGAACACCGGGGAGGCAGGAAAATGCTGTCTGGCAGACCCACCTTTTCCTCCTCCCTGGCCCAGATATTGAGGTTTTACCCTCTACAACAGAGCTTGAACGGTTTGCAAACTTGGGTTTAGGTAAATGTATAGTTGATACATAAGGATGTCAAAGATAAAACAGGGTTTTTCCTGGGCTAAAAAGAGCTACTGGGCTAGCAATTCCAAAATATAAGGAAAGAAACCATTTGTAATAATAATT